AATCCAAGCTAGTAAAAATAAACGACTAAAATATATCGTCTTGTCCACAGATATGCGGCTAAAGTGAACCTGCATTCTCCCAACCTGCCCACAAAGTATCCGGACAAGGAGAGAGACGTCTACCAAGCTACGAGGAAACTTCATGAGAGCCAGCAGTCTTTGGGAAGGCACTACCAACCGTAGATTAAAACACAATGATATTACTTTTTAAGTGTGGGAGAGCCATGCTTCGGCACGAATGGGCCGGCTCGGCCGGAGTGATACCACGGCCTCACAGAAAACCGACGTGAAGCAACGCTTGCGTTGTGTTTCGTCGTGTGAGTGAGGTTACCGGAGGCCCAATTATCCTCCCCTTCCCCAATCTCCCCAATCCCTGAATCCTCTAACTCCTAATCCTCAAAAGGCCGGTAACGCACTTGTAACGCCTCTGGTGTTCCAGGTGTCCATGGGCGACGCCGATTGCTTACCATCAAGTGATCCGTCTGCTCGTTTACCGGCTAATGCATTAAAAAAATATTACTAATGCCGTCACTAGAGCCATGGGTCAGGAATCAAATCTATTCATGTCATAACTTACAAAATGATTACAAGTCTGAGGGCTTAGTACTAGTTTGTCTTACGTTAGACGGGATCGAAAGAGACCGCGTCTGACGCTTTGATTGGTTGTTTCATTGGAGCCGGCCAATCAGAACGCCGACCGCTTGTTCAACGTAAAACGAACTCATACTAAGCCTTTATGATGACTCTATCTATTGAATGTCCAAATACTCGAACGGTATTCAATTTTAAATAGGGCTTGAGTGTAGTTCTGTCACTATAAATTCTTAACAAATTAGCAGTTCTTTTGAAACGTAAAGCCTTTCAGTATTCGGGCGAAAGGATGCCGTAACTAGTTCGCAGGGCAGATATTAAGGAAACGTATTCAATAATGTACCTAGTTACGATTTATCCTTATTTATGTACTAAACTAAGTCAATTACACACATACATAACCTGTCTCCCGAAGGGGTAGGCAGAGACTATGAAACACCAAATGCTACGTCAATTACTATCAGGAAATGAATAAAAGATACATTTTTTAAAGTACTCGGTTATCGTATGAAAGGATTATGTTGAGAAAATTTAAAGTAAAAGAATTGTCCCAAACTTGTACAGCTACCTTCTTTTGTAACTTTCAATTAAAAAGATCGAAGTGAACTTGAATTCGGTCCGCCATGTTTGTGAGAATAATCGCGACCAATGACGCGTGAGAATGCGATTGAGCACACTTCAAGTTCGTATTGACATCCTATAGATTAGACTGGCTGGTTCCAAACACATGTGCTACTAGTTGCGGCACTATACACGACTATTGCGCACAAAATGTAAAACAAAACAGTCGCTTGTATAAAAAAATGCTCGTAAAACTAAAACATCCTGTTGCTTTTCATGTTAATCAAAGAATACGTTGTTCCAATTTACAAATCTTTAAAACTAATTTGATTGTCGAACAATGTAGGTATAGATATTTTGTATGCGGTCATTTGAACGATATGTTTTCAATTGTAAAGACATTATTTATCAATTATTTCAAGCGATATCAGAACTCTTGTAATAAAAGTGAAGTCCAGTTTCGTAGATAACTAATGTGCAATAAATTACGAGTTAGACGCGTAATTAATGACGTCACAAGTATTACAAAACTTGTTTAATACTCTTTCAGAAATCGATTACAAACGAATGTCTTAACAACGCAACTATTTATGTAACTAGGTAAGTATTGTGCGCAGAAGTCAATGGAGCCTACCGTATTTATGCTCACCAGTTGGGGATAGTGTGACAGTCTAGTTCTTAACTCGTCGAGTACCGGTTTTGTAGACACAATTATAGAACAATTGGTTGCGGTCACCGGTGACCGCTTGGTGTTTGACAATTTAATCCAATAAGGAAGTAGCTAGTGTCACAACATTGGGCGCTCAATATTTGACAGCTGCTATGATTGGACAAAAATACCCCTCCCTGCATTCGCGCCAAGTGGTGGGCAAAAAACGTTAGCCCCCATTTTACTCATCACATCTCAACGTAAATTATTATAAAACACAAGATACGTATATATAAAGTAGATATAAGATAATATTATTAATATTAAGACACTTCATTACAATTAACGTTAGAAAGAAATTTAATAATCTGTAATTGCCAAATATGCACTAATTTATAAGCAATTTATTGTTATAATATCTATGACATAGAGCACATTTTTGCTCAGCTCGCTAATTAGTATTAGAACATTGGATAGGGTGATTGGTAAACATTGCATCACAATTATACTTCAAACACGTTTATGTAACGTCAACTGGCCGCACCTGTCTAACTACAACAGATAGTAATAAGAATCAGTCTGTAATACGTATTTCTTATTTATTATAGTGTAGGATTAGTTCAATATAATGTAAAACGCGATACAGCGAAGATGTTTCACATAACTACTCTGTGTCTATTACAAGATTCCAAACTGTTCTGGCGAATGGTTTTTGTAATAGCAGTAGTAATTAGTGGGGATCATATCTTGTCTGTGACACGCTTTTACTAGTATTTATCCAGGCGTTAGTGAAGAGCGTTATAAATAAAAAATTACCATCAGCCTGCAGCAGGCCACTGCTGGTCAAGGCTTCGCCAAACTAGAAGTTAAATAAATATATAATCTACGACGACAGTTCACAAGTCTCGCATCGCAACTAAGTTTAGGATAATTATCAATCACTTCCCAAACGGCTAATTATTATCGTGTAATTTATTGTAAACAATAAGGTCTAGGTAGAATCGAACAATAAGTAATTGGCTCATTAAGAAGCAAACATACACTTCTACCTCGAAATGGATAGAGGACAGAGATAGTATTAATTTTACTTTGCGAGACTCATCCAAGTAGTTACTTTGAATTGGCAGAGCACAGTATTAGTAATTTCGGACTAGAAGACTGAACGAGCGGAATCTCGATACAATATCGACGTCCGCGGTCTGGCAACGCCTCCACCGTGATAGAAGCATTGGCAACTACGTGGGACAAGTTTGGCTTTAATATTGGTAGTGTAATGTGTTCAAAAACTCATCTTACGGCCATTTTGATATCTCGAGTTGTGATATGTCTAACAAAAATGTAAATTACGAGATTATAATTTTAGAAGCGTAACGCTTGAAAATACTATTTTGTATAAACCATGTTTGGAAATTCCCTTTGATATTACTATTACATAATGAAGGCGTTACAATAATTTGTTATATTTACTTGTACCTACTATTTGTTACTGTTGCTCTTTGATTTCCAAATTTGTACATACTTGAAGAATTGTCATTTTGATTGTTTGTTTTATATCTATAAGATATTTGTAACTGTGTATTTTTGGAAAGTTGGTTCGATATGTAAATAATGTTTGCCAATGCTATAGGTAGATATGAAAACAAATTTTAGTACTTCTATGAGAAAATTTAACGTATTATAAAATTTTAAAGTGCTGCCTTACTAAAAACACTTTTGCCCGTTTTCACCACCGTCAGTATACCTACTACTACGTAAGGGTGAGGGTTTTTTTTAATAAAAAGCTTTCTTAAACTAAGCCGTTAATAAAATTTTGTTTCACTACTACTAACGTACAGAAACATGATATTTAAACAAGTATCAAGTCAAAAAAGAAGTATGGATAAACTGGTTTATCAAATATAATTCGCCAGGACGCATCAATGAATAACAAAACACGTGTCGAGTGGTTTGTCACGTGCGTATTTGCAATGCTGCATACCACATGGAATAAATATTACAATATTTTTCTAGTTGTTATTGTAGTAATCACCTATAAACTTAAGTGTTTATTACTTATTGTTAGTTAACAATACCACATTACCACTTAAGTTTATAAGAAGAAAAGAAGTTTCTTTTTATATCTACAACTACTCTATTTTTCTGGACATGAAGTTACGTTTCTAAATTATCAAAAATGTCTTCTATATTACTATCCATCTTCGTTGTTTGAAAGATCTTTTACATGTGTCCGTGTTTAAGCCCTAATTTTGACTGCCTAAATTAGGGTTTAGATGACTCTGTTGGTGAAACAACTTCTAATGGTCCCTTAACAATGTTTAGGGTATCCCATAAAACTAGAGGGCGTTGGTGAAAACGAGCATTAGGAGCCTTTTTTGGGGAATGGATGCAATATTTGTTTTAATTATTTCAACTTGCAACTTTTAGACAACCCTTTTGCTTCAACAACTGCTGGCCGAACAAACTATAAATAATTAAAATGTGCGATGTATTTTGTTTATAATTTCACTCTACAGACAGGATAGAAAAAATATTAAATGGTATTTCTGTTAGTAGCGGGAAAAGTAGATCATGTTCTGTTGGATAAATATGGACTATGGAGTGGCTGTAGACCGCCATAGATTATGTCTAACATAAGTTATTTTACTATAGGACAGGTTAACTAGCTTAGGTCTTAACAGATAAGTGAATATTTTGTTAAAACTTTCAGTTTTTTTCCAAAATTCAAACAGTCTGTTACGCACAGATCACGTTTCGGTTGTTCATAAAAGGGAAATAGTACCTCGCTATAGCTTAAACAAGGAGCCACGTGCTGCAATAGACTAGTTAATTAGTAGTCACATATAGATATAATTAAATCACGATTATGTACAGTTTCAGTGGCACTTACAGATTTCTCAATTTTGCACAATGAATTCGATACATACCTACATTCACAGAATGTCATTCTAGGAGTAATAACCTTTAAGCCAAGTCGTACTAAACTTTGTTCAAGTCAAAGAAAGTTTGTTGCATTGAAAATCTGTACGTTCTACTACAAGTAATTGGTATATTTAGATCCCAATAGTTAACTGAAGTATAATCGGTGTGTTGTCAAATCAATGTCCATATTGTAATTGTGTATGCACTAAAAAATTCATCTGTAATCATGGTTATATCAACTTCAAAGGCATATGGTTCTGCAATATTTGTCACTTGTTTGCCTGTAAGATATTACTAACCATACTTGGGCTTACAGATATAGTTTAAGGGAGCACTGTTTGAATTTTTCTTCAATCTTTACCATACCAAGGTGTACATGTATCTTGTTTCTGTGGGTTATTTATTATTATAGTGTTATAATGTAATCAAATCACAATTTGTAACAGTAGTGTTGGATTTCTTGCCATATCTGTATTTTGAGCGATTTTAGTAGATAGTAAGTGTTTCTTGAAATATTATGAAATAAAAATCAAGATAATTGAATCAATGTTTTATTTACAAGTCCGGACAAGGTTTGTGATTTAAAATAACATAAGTATGATAATGACATACATATTTGTCTTTTATTTGATTTGCCACATAAGTCTCCTTACGCACTAGCGGTTGACCGCCTGGGCGGTTCGTATCGACAGATTTTTTTGCATATTAAATTAGAAAAGCGGACAACCGCAGGGAGCGGCAAGCCGCGCGGTGGATCGCTAGTGCGTAAGGGTGCTAAGCGTTACATTCGAGACGAAGCTAGGATATTAGATACTTTAGAATACCACTACAAATCTACGACGAACTTGTTACGTCAGAGAAAGCGATGTTGCGTTGCATTGCGACATCGCAGCGGACAGCGGTCAAGAGACAGCACAATGAAATAATTGTGTTATGACAATGCGGGTACCAGCAACGCCTGTGTACATCTTACATCGGATACTTAGAGGAGTGCTTACATACATACACCAGCTATTTCACAAGTTCTAAACATGTCATTAGTAAAATTCATAACAATTAACAATAATTATTAGAATAACAGAAATACATACAAAACTAGGTGATCATTAATTATACAGGTGGGCAGTGGTGCTCCTCTTTGCATGTAATAAAAATCAATTGATCTGAACAAAAATACGAAGCACCGTCACAGAACGGATGAATCTATCGGAAAACACCTAGTACCATTGAGAGTTACAAGCTAATGATTGATTTCACAATGGAAAACACAGTCATACTTTGTTCATATGCTCAAACTACGGACCAAAATAAAAATGATGTCAATTGATGAAATATTCAAAAGAGTAGTGAATTTTGTTGATTGGTACATCAAGACATTGACATTAGTAGTAAATAAATATCCTAACATCAAGACAATATCAGCATTGAGAAAGTATCTACTGCACTACATTGTATCCTATTCATTAGAATAACTAATTTGATAAGTGAATTATACATAACAACTTGAATTTTATTCTTTTAACTATAATAATAATCACATAAATACCAATTAAACATTAAACCCTTAAAACATTGAATTAGTTCAAAGTCACATTCCTACTTAGTTACTATACTATCAGGATACCTTCTACACATTTAATTTTATTAATGCCTCACTACAATATTAGTCATTTGGATAGTAGCACAAGTTTATACTAATATACTACACAATTAACTAGAAGCAATCAAATTACATCAGTCACATTTGTTCAAATTTTATTTTATGATAACTAGGTACCTATATTTAAAAAGATTTGACATCTCAGCTGTGTTTGTTTCTATGTACATTATCATTAAAAAATAGATCACAATAAAAGCATTCTATTACCAAGTTATAAAGTACATACATCTTTTTTACTATCTACAGACACAAATAGACAACTCGTCACTATATCGGTTAAATTTGAAGTTGTATGAGGTCGACCTATAAAACGGTATTGGTAGAAACACTTTGACTCTTCTCTGAAGACTCACTGACTCACACCTACTATTGATCTCATAGTCATCACCATGCCATTCCTCATCCCCGTATCAGAGACACCACTCTCTCTAGAAAGTACCAAGCCCTACAAGTATGTTGAGAACTGGAGAGAATGTTATCAGACGGGAGGAGAACTGGTGGGATCCACCATATAGTGCATGGAGGAGATCACACTGTCTCTTGCCCTCTCCTTCCTTGCTCCTTTTCGGGTGTCGTGTATGGACTCCTCGAGGAGAGCAGTTCCCAGTCCTGAGAACCGAAACAAAGTAGAGGAGCAGATCAACCAGGAGATTCTGGCAGTGGTACTGTCATCCTTTATGACCATGGCCAAACCAGTTACCCCGCACAATACTCCGGCGTTCACCAAGAGATGGAAAGCTGCCCTTTCGTCTCAGAACATCTCTGACCTCATTCCTCAAACATCCTGGGTTGGCATAACAGAAATAGCCACCATTTTCCACACCGCCGTCACAGGCCGTCCCCTGCTACGAAAAGAGATCACGGATCGCATGCTCTCCATGGAGAAACATGGGCCCCACACGTAAACGAAACTTGGGAGAAAACTCAAAAATATCTCAATTTGCTCAAAATATTGGCGGGTACGGCCTGGGGTGTTCATCCGAAACACCTACGTAGATTGTATATAGCGCTTATTAGGAGTAGATTCGATTACGGTAGCTTTTTAATTGATAATAGTGCAAAATCTCATTTATCAAAATTAGAATAAGTGCAAAACCAGGCTATGAGAATAATAGGTGGTTTCATACGTATCACACCCATACATGTTATGGAATCTGCACTGTGTATCCCTAACCTACATCTAAGAAGTTATTTGGCATTTAAATATTGTTTGAAAGCTCAATCTATTAAAACCAATGTAACCATGGATTTAGTAGGTAAATTAAATAGTTTAACAATACATAGATATTGGAAAAATAAAAAAAATACCTTTACTAGCTGTCGCTAAAAACTAAAAACACTATTGACATAAAACTTGTATTGCAATGGGTCCCTGCACATGTCGGATTGATGGGGAACGAGGAGGCAGATAGTTTGGCAAACAAAACAACATCAGATGGCTCCGAAATTAATATAACTTCAAGTTATTTAGAAATTTTACCCAAGTACAAAGACATATGTCACAAGAACTGGAAGGAGTATTTTAACGAAAAATCCATGGAAAAGGAATTTGGTACAGGACAATACAAAGTGAGCTCCCGCGTATTCCCTGGTTTTCCGACTGTAATATTAATAGGAAATATATTATGATAGCTCATAGACTTTGGTCTGGTCACGTTCCACTCAGCGAGTTTAAACACCTCATGGGAAATAGTCCCGGTCCTAACTGTGCAGAGTGTGACACTATGGAGGATGTCCACCACTTGCTGGTGGAATGTGTCAGGACAAGGGCTGGGAGAGAGGCTTTGAAACATATGTTTAGAATTAATTTCTTAGATGTTGGAGTTATTCATAGTATATTGTCACAACTTTTATCCAAAGCAGCTATCTTTTTATATAAAATAGTAAATAAGAATATAATTTACGTTAATGTAAGTTTTGTTAAATCTGTTTAGGGAATGATGGGTCTGGCATGGTCTTTATGTGATCAACAGACTCTAAATAAATAAAGATTAAAAAAGTTGTGTGAGTTGAGAATACTGTAAGTAAAGGACACAGAAAATAGCTGATCATCTATAATCATCATTGTTAATCCTACACCAACATTAAGATCGGGTTCCAATATGAATACAATAATACTAGAAGTGAAATAAAATAATTAATTCCATAATTCCAATGACAACAAGATCAAGAGGCTAATACAATTTTTTAAATGCGTAATGGACTATTCTAATATAATGTGATGCGCTATTGAAGCGAGTGAATCCAACATGGATAGACATTGTTTTAATGTTGCTATTGATCGGACTCATCGTCATCAATAGCAACACCCATTAATCAGAAAAAGTCATAACTATTACTTGTTGTATGAACTGGCTTCCTCTTCAGTTTCTCCTTAATCAGATCACATGGAGACTTGGTGCTAAAGTCAAAACTTACAATGTTGGTGGGAACCTTTTCCCTCAGGTACGGTGCAGCGACGGGACGTAAACGTGAAGTCAGCACTTTACCAAACGCTGAGCACTTTCCTCTCTTGATCTTCTGCTTAAGTATGTAAGACATGTCTGTCTTTATAGGTAACAGAGGCTCAGGCTCTGGGGTTGGTAAACCAGCTTCAGATGTTCGCCTAGATGAATTAGCAACAAACTCTTTATAATCGAGGACCAGTGATTCAAAGGAGCTGTTGAGACTGCTGGGATCTTCTTTTGGTTTTGAATCAAGAGCCTCTGGTTTCTGTACAGCTTTCATCAAGTCTATCACACAGTCCTTCTCTTCAAGAGCCATCCGTCTCATCTCCTCTTGCAGTTTCTCTTGTTCCAGCTCTTGCTGCTTTTTAAGTTCTTTGGCTTTGAACATATTTGACAGCTGCTCGGAGAGGACATTGGCGATGGGGCTCTCGCTCATACTGAATGTCGGGATAGGTAATCTTGGAGGCGGGTTAGTGAGCCTAGTGTCGGACAGCCCTCTAGGAAAGTTTAGCATGGGCATTGGTAAATTCCCGACACGACCATCCTCACTAGGCGTGTCGTTTAAATTACATTTTGATAAGTGACTGTCCACCAAAGCGAAAAGGGAAGTAAAAGAACTTGAGTCAGTCATCTTGAATTACAATCACCTTCCTTTGTTCAAAGTCAAACAAAAAATTTGGTCATGGTATCACTTAATTCGAAGCACTATATACCTTCAATATTCCACCATCAATTCACAGGATTTACTACAATACTGCGTCATTCAAATTTGATTCATTAGTAATTACGTGATGTTTGTTATCTTTCTTTTTGTTTACGAAATGGCAGACAATTTGAGGAGGAATCAATAAATCAAACATAGACAATATGACAGCTAGGAAATGACGTATCATGTTTTTTACTGTTTTTTCTGGGTCTACGTTTATGGTTGTAAAGTTTGTATAGTAAAATATTTTTTCAAGTACCTTATTTGTTCGTACTTACTTATATAAAAACAAGAGTTTTCGCTTGTTCTGAATTCGGATTGTAGAATGTACTATAATTGTAAGACAAAAAAAATGTTTCTCGTGACACTGACATTTGATTTTTTAAGAAAGGCAACATTAGAGACCCTACGTAAATCACAAAACGTAATAAAATAGTTAGTCTGTGGTGCAACGTTAGACGGAGTGCTTCGCATCCTGAAACGGGAATCGGGAAACTTTATGAGACGTATTTTGAAGTTCTTTAAAATTTCTTTGAACTGAAAATTCTATTTGATATGCAAATAACTGGTTATCTAAGAGAAGTTTTGTTGTTGTGTGCGAACCATGCCAGGCGGAAAGTATGAACAGCTGCCCATGAAGTCTGAAGGAGACGAAGATGTTTTCACAAGTAAACCAAAAGCAAAATGGTCCGAGATTTGTTTCCAAAAAAGTTTACTGTCCTTGGGGCTGATCCTGTTGTACTTCTCGCTGTCCATTGGGCTCACCTTCTATCAGCGATGGCTCTTGACGGTAAGGCTACTCTTATCAGTAATTGTTTGCTTTACATCTTTCTTGATTTTATTATTTTGTTCTATTTTATAAAGTTGCTGGCTAAGTTAGAAATATATTTTTGGTTGCTGTGCGTACTTTAGTGTAGCTAGAACTGCTGCATTTCGGTGTTTTCGTATTGTTTAAAGCTGTTGTGTAAATGTATCAAAGTTTGTTGTCTTGTTTACCTTTTGCTTTGCAGTGTCCCAATTTCATTTTCCTTATATTATTTGCAATTGTTTCTTTATTATTACATGCAAATAGTCTTTGAACTAGTTTGGCTTTCGTTTTTGACCTTAAATCTAAGGTAATTCAAAATTACTGTTATATTAAGTATATTAGGTATTTATTTACAAAAACATGTGAATCTAACAAGATTTTTTATCAACTGTTGGACATTTTGTCATCATTCAATGTCTAATAATTAAGACATATTTCTAAACAATAGACATTATTTATAGATAGGATATAACATGACACTATTGTTTTGGAATATTTGGCAGCGGTGTAATATAAATTTATTTTCACACTGTCAATAGTAAAAAGATAAACACTGCTCAATTCCATACACTTAATACTTGGGCTCCATTCTATACCTACACATCTATTGGAGACATAAAATCATAAGAATCAATTAAACCTAATCACCTAAATAATTAAACAATTTGAATAACAAGCTAATAAGTTAATTTCTACCAATGCTCTTCTTTTTCATTAGAAAGTCAATTATAAATGTGTAACTAAAATAAAACATTCATTTTCCATATGGACAGTATAATTAAAACAACTACAACAACTACATGGGTATAAATTATCTGTGTCAATAAGCTCAGCACCTAACAGATAACATTAATTTACATAACACTGTGCAGTGCTGTATGATAATGATTTTTTATCTATGCATTGCAAAATTCAGTAATAAAAAAAATACAATGTTACCATTTTTAGTAACACTAAGATAATTAATTCTAGGCTTTAAGAAATTTTGGTTACTTTAATTTTACATTTATCAGAGTTAAAATCAGTAGAATCTATGTCAAAATTGTATTTTTTGGTTGTTTTATATCACGACAACTGTTAACACGATCACGCGACCGTCGGCCGTTTCTTTCGATTCCAGGGTCAATTAATCTACTGTTAATTCTATTCAAATAACAACAGTCACAAAGAAAGAATAAAAAAGGAAACGCCTATTAACTAGTGGTTAACAAACACACATAATATCTAGTTTAAATCCGATCGAAATTGATCTCGTGAATTTTCTGTCTGTGGTTTATGGTTCCATAATCTGAAATTGCTCACATAACCCTTATTAAGGAGTCATTCATTATCATATCATTTCCTAAGACATGGCTTAGGCAGGGCCGTCTTAGACTACGCTCTAGTGCGGGTCTAGTGCTACGACTAGTGCGGGTCATGATGCGGAGCGAAGGGTACTGGGATTCCGTCTCCTCCTTTTGCGAAACAGTCATGCTAGCTAAGAAGGAGGCGGGGCGCAGAGATGCAGCGAAGCGCTGCCTCCTCACAACCCAGCCGTCGCGGGGGCGTCGGGGATCGCGAGGCGATCTCCGGCTACCGTAAGCGTGGGCCTGCGGATGGCGAGCATTGGTGGGTCGCCGCCCGACCAGAACCAGACTCGAGCGTACGGCGCGTGGCGTTCCACGCGCGATTCAATGAGCCATCAGACCACCACGGATGGGGTCCAATAGGGCTGATGCCGATACGGAGCCGCGGAGAACTTAACGGGTTGCCGGGGCTCCGGCTTGAAGTGCAGGAGTAGGAATGGGATAGTTTTTAGTCAGTAAGAGTCTGACACTCCCTCCCTGACCCGGGCGGGAGATGTCATTTAATGATTTTCCCCCTTAAAAAAAAGGGGCCCTTGGGCACACAATAATTCGGGCTCCTTGCGTAATGTTTTTTTTTAACGTTGCTCGCACTAGAGAACACCTGTGTCGTGAGCACATTCACAAACATACAAGATGACATACACATGATACCTGTATCAGTTCTTCCCATCCGTGCATGAGCGGCTGGAGAGGACATGGTTGGAGGTGGATCACTGTGTTGCCCAATTTCTTACTGGCCACGGCAACTTTAAAAGCAAATTGTTCTCATTTAAACTTATTGATTCACCATGGTGCCAATGTTCGTCAGAGGAGTTGCGATACGAGCAGTCGGCCCATCACATACTCTGGGAGTGTGATCTCTGGCAATATGAACGTAACACTATGTTGAATAATTTAATTGTTTCATCAGGTGTAGCTTATTATACGGACCTTGTGGAATCTAGAACAAATTTCCGTGCGTTTAGGCGCTTTTGCCATACCTATTATTGGAAGCAAGTATAACAGCTCACACATAGGACCCACTTAGCTACTTAGTTTTTTAGTCAAATTTCCGTGGTGCTTGGCGACTGGGCTTCACCCAGTTGTACAGTCTCTTCTTTGTGCCTTTAGGCTTAATTCATTCTGTCTCCTGCAGTAATTCACCGAGGGAAGTGGAAATTATAGTTTTTTCTTCTTCTCCTCTTATAATATCTTCTGATTCATTTCGTTGCGGGAACCAAGACAGTTACTCATGTCCCTGGGACGCGCCGGACTTCAATGTTCCGGTGTTTTCATGGTTGTATCTACTGTAGATCCTGGCTTACAGGAGTTGCAGCGGTTTTGGGAGGTTGTGGCGGGCTTGTCCCAAAAAAAAAAAAAAAAAATACACATGATACCCTGACTCGAAGCAACAATTTGAGGATCACACAAAGATTTGCCCCGTACGGGAATCGAACCTGCGACAAATTGCGGGGCAACCAAAGGAGCAAATCTTTGTGTGGGTCCGTCGTAGAAATTGTTGGTCTATCAGGGGGCCCTGGGCATGAGCCCCGGGTGCCCTTATGGGGAAGACGATACTGGCCTTTTTTTTAAGGGGGAAAATCATCGAATGACTGCTCTCGCCTGGGTGTGGCGGGAGGGAGTGTCAGACTCTTACTGCCTAAAAACCACCCCGTTCCTTCTCCTGCACGTCGAGCCGGAGCCCCGGTTACCTGTTAGGTTCTCCGCGACACGATACTGGCCTTAGGTTCAATCTACAGCTTGTCAATTAAGCGTGCTACCTGTTTTTGTACAAAACATTGACTGCCTCTGTCATTCTTTCTTTTCTCATTAATCACTATTTACTCTTCCAATTCTCATTAAAATCCATTCAGTAGTTTTCAAGTTAATTCCGAACAAAATATGCTTTTCGTCTACAACTTAGTCCGCATGGTTAAATGGAATTAGCTTATCTACATATATCACTCTTTAGTCTTGCTAAATTACGCCTCACATTACCCAACAGGACAGATAGGACTTAATCGGAGATTGCACATACGTAATGCAGATGCACATATACAGAAATTACAATCATTTTTATACCATTTAAGAAAAGGTGGGTCTATTCATCTGATGCCATAATGCCGTCCACTGATTCCTAAATCAGTGCTTCCAAAATCTCTATAGTACCTTGACTGTCTGACGCAGCTATCCTAAGGCAGTCGCACTTCCGATAAACCAATGAAAAAAATATCGGCCAATATTACCAATAGCGGCGACAATTTAATAATGCCATTTTCTAAAGTGTTAAACTTGAAATACTTGATTGTTATGTAAATTAACAAAGAATGTTTCAATACGAGATATATAAGATAATATTCCTTGAATGTATAACATGACCTTTTTCTGCCTTTGTTATTCAAGTTATGGCAGGATGTTGTTCTGGTACAAAAATTACAACTTTATTGTGTTGTTATAAAGTCGAAAATGTATTGAATACTGCAGAATTTAACTACTTAGATGAACAGTATCTATTTACATCCTCCATTATTTTGCCAAAGTTCCCTAGGAAGAAACCATAGAACGCCAGTTATAAAATGTCGTTTCGTTTCTTATAAAAAATAGGAAAATCGTTCCTATTTTGTGAACCCCTCCCCCTCCCTTCCGAAGAGTCCACGGTATACTCCGCCATACCACACTATCGCCTGAATTGGCACGTCAATGTTGCAAAAATATTGGAGCTCCTTTCATTACCTCTTGCGTCTTTTGGGCCCGACAAACCTTTACATCTTCCGCGTCTGATATCCCGAATAGACGCTGCGCGCCGGTTGAACTTATTCTCTCAGCCACGTTAAATACAGTCGGACAGCCATTTCCAAACTATCAATTCGACGCGCCGAATTCAAAATAAAAAGTATTAGATATACTCTGACAAAAACAAATTCTCTATTGGACAACAGATCTTAGTACCCACTAGAACCTCTTGCAAACCTCATTTTTTAAGTAAATTAAAAAATCGCATATTTTATCCCATTTGGAAACATTAATAATATCAATGCTTGGAAAGTATGTCCACATAGTTATTGCATAGAAGCAGATTGCTTGGTCACTAACAATAAGGCATTCAAATAGTACTAGTTATGCACAAAATACTTGGTAGGACATAGTTGAGGAACGTGCTCCGTAGCATTTCCGTCGCAAACAAAACTCGTAATGGATACACTCCCACCCCTCCCACGAGATTTAGAGAGAGACTCCCCAACAGAAAGAACTTTTTGTTCAACTGATATAAAAATAGATAACACGAACATGATCTTGAAATTATTATTTAATTTAGTATGTTTTTCCTCAATGAGTATTGTTTTATAGAAAGACAATGAATGATACTTAAAATACACAATACGAACGATACGACAGAATACGTCCTAAGTTTTAAACGAAAGACACTTCATTTTTATTAGTAACTAAGATTACTAATAAAAATTCGGTCTGAGCATGGGTAGCTCGCCGCCCGATCAGACCCAGCCCCGAGTTCCGCGCGCGCCTCATAGAGCCATCAGACCACCACGTATGGACTGATGCCGATACGGAGCTCCGGAGGAGTTAACGGGTTGCCGGGGCTCCGGCTCGAAGAGCAGGCGTAGGAACGGGGTGGTTTTTAGTCAGAAATAGTTATTA